GGCAAAGCACAGCATCACTTGCCTCGTTCATTCATTCATTGTGCGCTCGCGGATGGGAAATGATGCAGTGTCTTTATTCCAGGCGCCGTGAAAGCATCGGTGCAGCAGCGAGTTGATGTTTCAGTGAATGACAGGAGGCCTAAAACCTTCAGGGCACAATGACTGTAGTGGAGACATTAATTTACATCTAATATCTCAAATATGCAACCGTAAGACCAGATGTACAAGCAGCATCTCAGAATACGGGATCTGTGGGCAGGTTTGAGTGGGATGTAGGCGGAGAGCGCCACCCTGCGGCCGCAATGACAATCTGCGTTTGAGAGATTTTATGCTCAAGAGCACAGTGGTAACATATAACATTCTTGAGTCTGTTGTAGGAACCTTTAATTTTTTTTATGATGACAAAGTGTTATATTTTGTTAACTATTGTAATGCTATTATAAGCTTTTGTGATGTCTGTATGTCCCCCCTCTTCTTTTATTTTTTTCCCTTAATGTCAATTATTGTTGTATTTTATATATATATATAAAAAAAAGATCTCCAGTGGTAATGCCAAAAAAGACGCCTCCCTTTTTTTCCGACAAATGACGCCTCGATATTTTTTCCTCCCAAGAGTACATAAATAAAACAATTGCCAGATAAATGCACACGCAAAAATACACAAATAACTGTATATTTATTAAGTTATAGCCTATTTAAAATAATACGATTATAAAGGTATATATATATTTTTATTTATATATTTTTTTTATATATAATACATTTGAAAGTAAACTTTGCCCATTAAAATGCATGAAAAATGCATAAAATTCTCAAGTAACAGATAAATGCTAGTACAAAACAAATGAAGTTTGCGCTGTAGATATTCCTAAGAAAAAAATATGTTAAGTGTGCGAATTTGTGCTTATAAAAATTAGCCAGCAAAAAGAAATTAAACGTAAATTCAAGACCTTTACCGCAATTGTTTTCATAATATAATATAATATAATATAATATAATATAATAATATTATTACAAACAAAATGAATGAGTCAGTTTCATTACAAAAAAGTGCAAGAAGAATTATGACAGCAGACAGGATCGAAATGCAATATCTGAAAGGAGACAGCCATCGGCAGTGTTTCAACATTAGATAGATAGATAGGCTAGATATATAGATAGATAGATAGATATATATAGATATATAGATAGATAGATAGATAGATGAATGAATGAAATGTTACGTAGATGTTGAAAAAGGGTCCCAATGTTTTTGTTATTGCATTTATTTTCATGAGTCAGGTTTGATAAAGCGTGCCGCTTTAACGGCGTCATGCAGCTCCGGAGAGATCAGCGAGCGCGTGCTGGATGCTTGCCTTACATCATCAACAGTTTCTGAAAACACGCCGCTCAGCCGCTGTTGTAAGTTAGTTAGCAACACGCTAAACTATATGATGGAAGATTACTGCACTCGAGTTCGTATCTCGAAGACATAGCGAGCTAACAGTTAAACGGAGATACCTGCGTGTGTGAGTTAGCAGGACAGCTAAGACATCAAACCCGGACGTTTCATTCTTACTTTTATTACCAGGCTTTCAGAGCGGTGGTATACATATTACTAAATATTACTAAAAAGGAACATAGTAAGTCCAAAGTAAGTGTGTCATCTTGACAACTAGTGTTTATACAGGTTGACCTCACCGAGGTGTCCTGGAGGTAAAATGTGCTTTTAACTCAAGTGTTTTAAAGTATGGAGCCATGTTTGAGGTTTGTCTGTCGAGAGAGTCTCAGGAAAGTGTCGATGAAATGCTGGACATGGAGAACTGTGAAGTGCTCGAGATCACCTTTCAGACGCCCTCTTACATCAACATGTGGACGAACACATTTCAGCACACCGCTGCTGAGAGCTCAGGGACACTGTAGGTGCTGCATGTCTGTGTTAGTCTATGGCTCTGCTGCTCAAACAACATTAATAACACATTTGTTTCTGTTGCCAGACCTCTCCTTTCGCCAAAGAGGCACAGATGTATCCCAAGCAGCCCTGTCTAGTGTTGCTCCAGTGTTTGTTGTGGTAAGACAAATACTTGCATCTTGTACAACGTTTTGTTTACAAAATACACACTGTTTGTGATTAGAATAAAGCCACTGACTCACCTTTCCTAAATCACCTTCTCATGTAACAGATGAAATTTGAGCCTGATGGGAGTGTGACCTCATTTGGTGAGTTGGATGCTTTTCACATCCTGCTGTATGTTCAACATTTAGGTGTGACGCTAGTTCCTTTTAATTTTTTGAACCAAGCAATGTTAATTATTTATAAGTTATCTCAGAAAGACATGGTCTTACACACACAGAAGCAAGATTATTGAGTATGTTGTTAACTTTTATATTCTACATGGAAAATACTATATTCACTAATGAAAAATCGGAATCGGAATCAGAAAGAGCTTTATTGCCTCATACGTTTACACATACGAGGATTTTGTTTTTGTGACAGAAGCTTCCACAGCACAAACAGAATGACAGTGACAAGACACATATAATAAAAAGAATAAAAATAGGATAAGTAAATGGGAAATAACAATGTACAAAAAAGTATTTAAAAAAAATTCACAATATACAAAGTGGACAGTAGATGGTATTTCTGTGTACAGGTGTATTATGTACAAATGCAAAGAAATGTAAAAAGAGGCATGTGTGTTAAATAGATAAATGTATAAATAGTGTTGTGTACACGTTTATTGCCAAGTTAACTGTTCATGAGCTGTTCTCTGTAGCGCCGACCAGACGACAACAGTTCAGAGAAAGTGGGCTGGGTGTGAGGGGTCCAGAGTGATTTTTGCCAGCTCTTTTACTCACTCTGGATGAGTGCAGTTCCTGGAGAGTGGGGAGGGTTGTACCAGTGATTCGCTCAGCAGTCCGGACTATCCGCTGCAATCTTCTAAGGTCTGATTTGTTAGCTGAGCTGAAGCAGACAGTTATAGAAGCTTGACAGAGGGGTCTTTAGAGTTGCAGTCGTTGTTGTGCAGGGAGAAGAGCAGTGGGGAGAGAACACATCCCTGGGGGGCACCAGTGCTGATGGAGCGGGTGCTGTATGAGAATTTTTCAAGCCTTACTAGCTGCTGCCTGTCTGTCAGGAAGCTGGTGATCCACTGACAGATGGAGGTGGACACAGAGAGCTGAATTAATTTGGACGTAGGGTTGGGTACCGCTCACATTTGAACGGTACCGGTATCGGTACCTGAATTTCGGTGCCGGTACCTTTTTTTGGTACTTTACTCTCTGTGTAATTACAAAAACATTTATTTCAGTGAAAAAATTAAGTCCAAAAGTCTCAATTTCAACATTTTGAACAATAGGGCCCTACAAACTTTTTCTTTTTCTCCCCCCCCAACCCCCCAACAACTGTTGAAGGCCGAGCTGAAGTCCACAAACAGGATCCTCATATACACTACCAGTCTGAGCAGTTTTTGAACAGTAAGATTTTGAATGTATTTAAAGAATTCTCTTCTGCTCACCAAGCCTGCATTTATTTAATCCAAAATACAGCAAAAGCAGTAATGTGAAATATTTTTACTGTTTAAAATAACTGCTTTCTGTTTGAATATATTTTAGAATGTAATTTATTCCTGTGATTTCAAAGCTGAATTTTCAGCATCATTACTCCAGTCTTCAGTGTCACATCCTTCAGAAATCATTCTAATATGCTGATTTGCTGCTCAAGAAACCTTTTTTAATTATTATTATTATTATTAATGTT